AGATTATTCTGAAGACGTGAAAAACGTACAATGCTTTTCCCGGGACTCGAACCCTGGGGGTCTAGGACTTTTCGCCGTCGCCATTTCACCGTGGCCGTTTCGCCGTCGAGACAGGTTTTCCTTTACATGACTGCATTTTATCTTGCCGTATTATACTCGTATTAAATTTATTTAGTTTAATAATTATGTTTACCTTTTGTATACTTACTAAAGGTTGCTTGTAATATATACACTTGTTTCAAAGTACAAGATATAAAGAAATTAGACATAGCTGGAAAACTATGTCAGTATCAAAGAGAATTGGGGCTAAACCTCTGATATAACAGAAGTTAAATTTTCGATTTTAAAATTATGCGGGTACAATATTTACATTATTCGTCAAAATTGCTTGAAATTTTAATCGGCTAGTTCAGAGAATCACTCATACAAGCAGGAAATTCACTTTTTTATGAAATCTGAATGGAAAACGGAATTATTTTGTAATCTTGTGAGCACCTTACTCTCTTAAAATTAATATGTCATGTTTAACTCTGTATAAAACTATACCCAGAAACATTTTATATATTATTTTATATAAAATATTTATTAAATTAAATTATTAAACTATTTTAATTTAAATCAACTTCATATAATACGAAAAGATATAATACAGTCGTGTAAAGAAAAATATGTCTTGACTTCGAAACGGCTCACGTCGAAACGGTCACGGCGAAATGGCTACAACGAATAGTCCAATTCCCAAACCCTGGACCTCTCGAATACTCGAGTAAGCTTCCAGTTACACCACGAAGGCATGCAGAAAGGAGGGAGAAAATAACTTGTAGTATAAAAAAAAATATCATTTCTAAGTAATGGAAAACAGTATGAACATGAGGTCTTTATACAATAGTCCGCGCTTATATTTATATATATTATATAAAAATGCCCACTTTCACAGTATTTTAATGAGGTAAATTCAGGAGTTCGTTTATGAACGGTTCATAATATTTCTAGAAATTATTTGCCCGATAATGTATCCCTAAACTTAATACTCTGAGGGTATACTTTCTGAGCATTAGTAGAGAATTCACTGATTCTATCATTATCTTCTTGAGGAAGTTTATCACATGATGTATTTGGATTACTTTCCGAAACGACTGAAGGGAATGGGGTATTCTGCGGAATTTTTGTTTGCTCCTGAAGAGGAGGGTACTGTGTCTGTTCGCCATTGCAATCGATTTTTATGATGAAATCATCATCACGGTGAAATTCATCATAGATTTTTTTTAAAACCAAACCCAAGCTATCTGGTGACTTGTTGCTATTTCTCTGTCATTTGGCAAATTCTATAATTCATTTCGATTTTATTTGTCAACTTTACTTCAGTTTCTAAAATTCATTCTATAATGTTTCCATCATATTAACTGAATTTTATCACAATAAGCGATGTATTTTCTATGTTTCTCGGTATTAACGAGGGGAATTTTGGCAATTCGATAACAATATCCGAATGGTAATATTAACCGCGATCATATTAAGCGGCATCTCTAGTAAAAAGCTATTCGGTCTTACAATTAATTGAATGAGTCGGGAAATGATTACTTTCTACCTATGATACTTTAGCTTAGTTCCCATATTCATCCATTTATTCGTCAAAAATCTGTTTTTCCCTAAATACAGCAGAAAATGTGCACTGGGTATCCATCCTAGGGCCATAGATTTTCTTAATCAAATCACTTCGCTTGAATGTATTGTAATGGCAGTCAAAGAATGTAGAATGCAGTTTCGTTCTAGTTATTTTTATAATTTAAACAGTTAACAGAAAAAAATGGGAAATATAAAGAGATTCACAACTGACATATTATCCGTACACGAAAACGTAATATAACATGACTCTAGAAAAAATGTTCGAGCAAACGAACAGGATGTGTTAAATTTTTTTATAGTATCTGTGTATTGAATAAAGGAAAATTTATAAGAACTTAGATAATTAATGAAAGAAATAAAATCACTATGAAATAATTTTAAAAAGATCAAAATATCTCAAAGAAACTAATTTGATTCCAAAGAACCAGTATAGATAACATGTGTAATAGAACAGTGGAATTAAATCATAGTTTTGTTAGAGTGTCACAATTAACGTAAAGAGAACGCAGCTGGAAAAATCTTTCTGTTATATAAAACAAACCCCCCCCAAAAATGGAAAAAACTTTCTGTTATACCAAAACTACATTCTTGACAGTGTTCTGGATTGTTTAAAAAAGAAATTAATTAATCAGAAAAACAATAAAATGTATTATCGGTAAAATACTTATTACATTTCGTTGTTTTCTTTAGAAGAGGAATAATACTATCGGGACAGGGAATCCAAAAACGAAAATTAGATAAATAAACATTTTAGTTCCAAAAAAGAGTCATTAAATTAGTAATACTGTTAGAGAGGGATAAGAGAACGTCTATTAGCTAATATTCGTTTTAAAGGAAATTATTATTTTAAAAAGAAAATGCATTTTATTTAGCAAAAATTTAACGGAAAATTAATTCATTAATTTTAATACACCGAGATGAAAGTTTTGATATAATGAAACTACTGATGATGTCTGTTTTCAAGACCTTTCAATAATTCTTGTGATGGAATATCAAAACAATTTAATGTGAAAAGAAATCATCACTGGCATAGGGACGAACCCTTAGTTTCTGATCAATAAAAGAATTTATGTTTGACAATTTAATGAAACTATTTCAAAGAGTAATAAGAAGATCATACTGATTCTGTAGATCTGATGGGAATGCAGAAATTCCATCTTCCGGCAATTAAAAAATGTTTTGGAAGGAAAGGGTAACGTTTGAAAAATTACTTTTCACCTTAGATATTAATTGTAAAACTACTTTTGCATCTGAGAATCTTCCAGAATATCACATTTCTGCAAGTAAAAATTTCTTTTGTCTCACACATTCATTTTTTTTTAATTTGCTAAGGGATCATTAATATAATTATGTGAAAGAAAACTCAACTCAAATGAGAAGAAGAAATAGCTCTGCTTTAAAAGAATAGTCATCTAAATCATTTTTGTTAACGAATGGCGGATTTAACAATCGTTCGTGTAATTGGTTGAATTATTTGATTTTCTAAAATTTTTGTTAATATATTTAACGTTAGAAACGATATTATCGGAGTGTTAATGCAGCCATTTGACTGCTCCGTATACATTACGTCCCATGCTTGTATCATCTAAGCTCCTTGGCAAATACACTCATGTCCATAAATTAAGGATAATTCGGAGTCACGCAGAAATCGAACACTAAAATAAATATATCACCTGTAAAATTACTACACATCTTCAAGAATCATATGCAAATTTCAGGAAGTAACTAGATGACACCGATGGTACGTCACAATGACGAGAGTGTAAGAGAGTGATATATAAGGAATACAGGCAAAGAAGTAAAATTGTTCGCAGGAGCTTTATAAGCATTTCAGTGCAATAACCGAATAGTTATGACACAAAGGACGCATTTGGATGATTTTTTACGTGGTAGAATTATCGGCCGTCTGGAATTTGGGCGTACCCAACTGGAAGTATCAGACGAACTTGGAGTTGCCCAGAGTGTCATCTCCGGGCTTTGGCAACGATTCCAAGATGATGGTAATGTGAGTAGACGTTACAGCACAGGTCGCCCCGGAGTTACAACGCCGAATGAGGACCGGTATTTGGCAGTTACTGCCAAAAGAAACAGGCGGAGCACAGCCTCAGACCTGTCTCGTCAGCTCTCTTCAGCCACTGGTACGACAATTTCAAGGTAGACCGTGTACAGACGCTTAGGGCAGATTGGTCTATATGCTCGTAGACCTGTCAGATGCGTTCCACTTATTGCAACTCACTGTTCCCTAAGGTTAGCCTGGAGTGGAAAGCATACATTGTGGACACCGCAACAGTGGGCTTGTGTGATGTTTTCCGACGAGTCCAGGTTTACTTTGCAGTCTGATTCTCGCCGGACTTTCATATGGAGACCTCCAGATACCCGTTACCACCAAGAAAACATCATTGAACGACACCGTTACGGTGGTGCAGGGGTGCTCGTTTGGGGTGGAATTATTCTGGGTTCCAAAACTGACCTGCATGTTCAAATTGGAACCATGACAAGCCAAATCTATCGGGACGTCATTCTGGAACAACATGTACGTTTGTTTCGGGGCGCCATGGGTGAACAAATTGTGTTTATGGATGACTATGCCCGTCCTCACCGTGCAAACATCGTAAGCGAATGCCTTCAATCGGAGAATATCACCCGTATGGACTGGCCATCATTCTCACCGGACTTGAATCAAGTAGAGCACGTGTGGGACATGCTTGGCCGACGAGTTGCAGCCTGTCAACTTTCTCCTACATGTCTACCGGAACTTCGGAGAGCATTGCTTTTTGAGTGGTGTAATATCCCCCAAGATCAGATCGATAATTTGATGCTCAGCATGCCTAGGTTTTGTATGGACTGTATTGCATCGTCTGGGAGACATACAATGTATTAATAATCATACCAACCATGTAATATTGGTTTTTTGTAAATAGGTTGTTTTTATAATTTGCTCCAGGGAGAAAAAATAGCTAATTTTTTTTAATAATATCAATCATATAGCATCTTTTTTTGCTCTTTGCCTTTTGTTTAATAAATAAACTTTACAAATAAGTCAAATTTGGTTTGCTTCTAACACTTCCTTTGCTTGATTTTGCATTATCCTTAATTTATGGACATGAGTGTATTATCACTGCACATAAGCTTGCATTGGCTCACATAAGTGAATGTCAACTCATAAGTCACCAGTGACCTATGTCTGTGACAGTCGTCGGCGTTCTTCGGTTTAATTTAAATTCAATATCCTCTTTGAATTTACTGTGTCACCTCTACAGGGAATCTTCAAAAGCGTAGGTCTTCAGTAAACTCACACCTGTGCCTTTTACCTTTGGTTTAATTTTGTTTTAATAATTTGTCTACTCAGTGTAATCTAAAATACATCTTATTAGCCCTATCGTAATATTTATGCAGAATCTTTTACTATTATTTTACATTTTTACTTTGGATTTCTAGAAATAATAGTCATCTGTAGACACTGTAATATATTTTTAGATGTTCTCTAGTCTACGCATTTTACATATTGTAATGAAATATTTTTTTGTTTTGCTTAGGAATCCATTTTTACTTCTGAAAACGATGCAATGGCTGTGGCACAAGCAAATAATCATCTGTCTGTGAATTTATATAGAGTGCTGTCCAAAGAAGACGGAAATGTTTTCTTTTCACCCTTCAGTCTATCAACTACCTTGGCAATGCTCTTTTGTGGTTCCAAGAGTAATACATCAGAAGAAATGCGAGAAGTCCTTGGATATGAACTTGCTAACATTCCAGATGAAAATATCAAGTCTAGTTTTCAACAGCTTCTATCTCTTTTGCAAAAAACGCCTGATAATTATATTTTAAGTTACGCAAATAGCTTGCTAAGTCAGAAGGATTTCAACGTTAAAGAGGAATACAAAACAATCCTAGAAGAATCTTTCAAAGCCTTGTTGATGGAAGTGGATTTTGTCCATGAATCACAAAAAGTAGTTTCGCAAATCAATGATTGGGTGAAAGACAAAACAAATAACATGATACCTCAACTTTTGGATTCTCTTGATCCTGCTACAGTTCTAGTGATATTAAATGCTGTATATTTTAAGGGAAACTGGTTGAACAAGTTCAATGAAAAAGCAACTTTTCTTCAATATTTTTATAATAAAGGCATAGAAGACAACGCTGTACAAGTTGATATGATGCATCTCAAGGAATCGTTTCCATATTTTGAAAATGAATCATATAAGGCTGTGCAACTGCCATACAAAGGAGAGGAAATAGCCATGCTTATTTTACTCCCGAATTCAAGAAATGGTTTGGAGGAAGTCGAGAACAAATTGTCTTCTAATTTTATTCAAGATTTCAAACAAAATATGCGGAAAACAAAGATTGAGTTGGCATTACCGAAATTCCGATTGGAGTATTCCAAATCCATGAAAAATGCGTTTCAGGAATTGGGAATGAAACGAGTGTTTGAATGTGGTGCTGATCTCAGTGGAATAAATGACTCCAAGCAACTAAGTGTGTCGGAGATCATTCATAAAGCTGTTGTTGTCGTAAATGAAGAAGGAAGCGAAGCAGCTGCTGCAACAGCTGTGTGTGTTATGTTATGTTCCTTGTCTTTTGATCCTGAGGTCATCGTTGATCATCCTTTTGCTTTTGTTATATATGATACGAGAAGCGATCTAATTTTATTTATGGGTAGAATTGAAGAGTTAGAAGAAGTAGTCTACAAATAAAATACAGTCTAGGTAAATTTTCTGTTTTACACATATTTTGAAGAATTTTCTTTGCGCTAACTGTTGTATTTCAAAGAACTGAATTAGAGAAAATTGGAACAATTTTGACATGCTATTAAAATATAATTTATAATATTTTATTGCTCATTAGCAGAGCATGGACATTCCTTTTTTTTACTGTATAAGATTCTGCTATTTCTTCAATGTCTGTAAAAATTAATTAAACACTTTTATTTTATTTTTTCTGTGTGAAAATCTTGACTAGAATGAATTATCTACGGTCTACTTATGTAATTGATTGTATTATTGTTCGAAAATAAATTACTCATATATAACAAAATAATGATTAATTTGTTATACTTTAGTTTCAATATATTTATATAATTCCAATAAGCACTTTTATATATATTTAATCATGACGTATTTTTTCTTTTAAGATTTATTAAAATCTGATTTCAGTTTATTACGAATTCCTCTACTTAAAGTGATAAATTAGATTTCATATCCGGCTTAATATTAAATTTGTCACAGCAAATTTATGCCTCTAATATTAAATTTTCTAATAAAGCACACTAAAATTAGTAAACAATAATTCATTTAAATTTAACTCCATCCTATTTAACTTATTCCCGGAAATCTAAAATTAATTTAACAAAGATCATGTCAAGTGACGAATTTTTACGGGTTGGTCAAAAACGTCTCGTGTTTACGTTCTCTAATAGTGAAAGTATCATCTATTAGTTGACAGAAGAAGTAAAGAAGTTGGTTTCTGATTCTTTTTCCTGAAGTCATTACCTGACTTTGTAATGTTAAACCTAATCAGTTACTCACTTACGCATATATAACCTTCCCTAGCTGTTACGAATATTCGTTATCGCACTAAGTGTAAATCTAACTAAATTTCAATAATACAGGTAAGAGATAAGTCATAACTAAAACATTTATTAAAACCTATGTTCCTATATTACAACTAAAAATTGGCAATTACCATCCACCTCTGCTTGTGGGATTGCAGAAGCTCAAGCATTTAAAGCAGAAGAACATAGAATAAAAATCTTACCAATCCAATTGGCTTCAGAAGTAAGGATTCTAATCCTATACGCGAACAGATATAAAAGTTCACTTATCAAATATGCAGGCTGGCAAGGTGAAAGTCTCAACCAACTAACTATATTTGGACTCTTCGAAATTAAAAATACGTTGTCTATAAATCCAACCTAAACTTAATCTGAATTGTGTTGACGATGACGATGGAAGAAATTGACTGAAACATGTAATAATATGAAGCTGCAAGAAATCTGACTACTTCAGTGCTTTAGAACGCATATCGGATACTCTGCATTCGTCGAAGCAAATGTTTCGTTCTTGTGATCAAACAACTTCCCTAAATATTTACGGGACATTTGGACTATTCTTTTTTTAATTGTTACTGACTAATACATAATTTTAATTATTCGTATTATTAAACTATGTATAATTTCATTTCTTAGTTTCGTATTTGTTTGCGAGGTGCCCAATTTCAAAAGGAAATTAACTCATATAGTATTTACCTAACACTAACAGAAAGCCACAAAATACACATGCAGCTAAACCCGTTCACCGAAATTCGATCTGGAATCAATCTAGAAGTGCCAAGTGGTGTTAGCCGATCGGCTGCCGATAAGCGAACTCTTTTTGAAAACATATTGTTGGAAGTTATGTCGGTGTCGAATAATATCCTGCATTCTTTCATTTCAGACAGAAATTCTAATATTTTATTTTGCATCACTGCAAAATAAAATACATTCTCTAATTTTCTAGATTGAGCTTTTATAATCTGATCAGAAAAAAACTAATGACAATGAATTTCAAAATTTTATAAAATTATGCTATATTGATGTACAATCACAACGCAGCGAATCAAATTATCATAAATTCTAAAGACAAGTTTTGTCTTGCTAATATGTTACATTGACTGCTATAAAATATCAGAATTCCTTGCAAAGAAAAGAATTATTAAATAAGCTATGATATGTAATTCTCACTCAATTACTGCAATAATTGTGAATTCATTATGTTATACTCTGAACGATACTGGTATGTTTTGCTAATTAATCCTGATTTGATGAAAGGCTATAATTCTTCTATTTATTTTTTTAATAAAAAAAAACGGATTTCAATTAAATGTATTCAAAATGAATTTATAAATTGTTTTAATTTATTGCTTATGTAATGCTAAAATATAACTTCTTTAATTTTAAACTTATTACGTATAAAACATATTTTTAAATTCCGAAACATCCGTTTGCTTAGTATGAAACTTGATGTAATGCTTTTTAGGCTTGCTTTAGTTATTAAAATAATTTATTTTATTTCTCATCGTGTATGATCTGTTTTTTCCTGTTGCGATCAATTATAAAAATAGATTTCTAATCATAATTCTTAAAATAAAATTAGATTTTTCATTTATGTTGTTAGATTTATCCTAAGTGTTTTTAACAGTTATTTTAAGTTAAAGCTCCTTTCCTATTTCTCCTAATTTCAACTTACAATTTCCTACCAAAATGTGTTTTTAGAATCGCGTTTAATGCAAATGAGTAAGCCTAGTATATAAGTCGAAGTTCCAACTAGCGCGCGTTTGCCTTTTTGGCCACATCTCTCTAAGCTGTTACACGCTCTCTGCCGTATTACAGGCCCTTGATAGTAGCTTCGCCAGCTAATTCGATATTTAGGGGCCAACTACTTAGAACTGTGATAGCTTCCGCTGTATCTCTTTCGTTGAACATTAGTTATTTCTTATTCATTACTATTTTGTGCTCAAGTGGAGGCTTTGCTGTACGCCCTGAGACAGGGGCCGACTGTTCATTATTATTTTGAGCAATAAAGGGTAATTAACCCTTCTCGTGTTTACGTTTCTGTTGCTAAACTTAAGCGACTATTCGCTTAGGTTCGTCCACATTTAGTTGTTAGTTAAGAGAGTGGAACCCACAATAGTTATATTTATTTGTCCTAAAGAAAACTTCAGTATTTAATCGTTTGAATGAAGTACTCTTAAAAAAACCAGCTTCCTTCTTAAAAATTCCATTTATGGAATGTCAAGTGTAATTTTGCGTAACTGTTACACTTCTTCTTAAAGTCTTTTATAATAATGAATCATCTCAGAAACCAAATGCGCATATCCTTTTCGGCACTATATATTCATCGCACGTATTTTTAGCATTAAATCAGAAGGGATGCTCGACGGAATGTTGAAATGCATAAATTCGAAACGGAAGCACGATACTCATTCATTTAAAAAAAAGTATTTCATGAGTCATCGAAGTTGGATGTAAAAGTCTCAAATGCGTCTCATCACATATCTCACTATAAATTTCCGATGGCACAATCTAAACTTATTTTAGTATTTACTTAAATGATTTTTTTAATTTAATTACGTGAAACTTTTTAATATACATATAGAGAAGCAAAAAATTTTGTTTTGCTTTTAAATATTTACGAAAATTTATTGTCTCTAATTTTTCTTTATTTAGCTGAATCTTGCAATAAATTTTAATTTAAATCACTTCGGTTTCTGGAAGTTAATTACGTACTCAACGAAATTTGTTTTAACTCAATCGGTTTTTCTTTTGTTGTAAGCTTAATTATTTAATTAATCGAGTCTTTGTTTTTTATTTCTCAGTAATCTAAAATTTAAAATACTTCCTCACCTTGTTCAGCTGTATTCTCTAAATCTAAGCTTCACATCTGTTTTATGGTTTGCTTTAATTTTCTTAATCAGTGCTGAACTGTTAATTAATTGTGAAGCAATTGTCCACCTTCTTGGAAGTTCAGTGGTTATTAATTATCTGCTGATTTTATATTAATGATATTCAATTATTCGTGAAAGCTTTTAAAACTCCTAATACATTCTGCATTTATTTACATTTTCAGCGGTATTTCTATGTAATCTTATTTTCTTATTTTAATAGATTTAATAGATTAATTTTGACAAAGAATTACTTGATGAGAAATCATACATAGAACTATCCCTTAGGTAAAATCTCTATGGGGTGAATTTAAAATTGGAATGTGTTGAAGTTGGTTTATTATTATTATTATTATTATTATTATTATTATTATTATTAATATTATTATTATTATTAAGACATGACTTAACCTTTTTTTTTTAGTCCAAAGGGGTTTTGTCCCTGAGGAACTATTGTTTTCGTTTTGCGATTTTGCGTCGAATGACTCTGAATGTCCGTTTCTCTTTTCAAACTGTTGCCACCAAATATTATCTACCTGTATTATATTTGAAGAAATTAAATAATGAATCTGTATAAATGTATGTATGTTTCTGGCATTGTGATAAAACAACGGTACCTAGAGGCACACATTTTGAATGGCGTAATCCTCCTGCGTATATGGGCATCTGGAAGCTCAAATTTGAAATTTGGAATTTGTTTTATTATCGATTTCCTTTTTTGAAAAACATTAACGAATTTTTGAGTAACAAACTCAACGATTTAAAAGCGAAAAATGGCAACACTCTACGGGGAAAAAAACCTTCTTATCTCCAGCTTGCGGAACTGTGTATCGGAAATTCTAAAGATGTGCTCATTTTAAAATTATTTTGCGACATACGTAGAGCCATCGAATTTCGAATGACGTTAACCTCCTACGAATATGAGCATCTGGAAGCCCAAATTTGGAATTTGGAGTTTGTTTTATTATCGATTTCATGTTTTGTAAAACTTTAACGAATTTTTTATTAACAAACTCAAATTGTTTCAAAGCGAGCAATGGCAATGTTGTCCAGTGCGCGAGACTGTGTATCGGAAATAAGTTACGCTCAATTTAAAATTATTTTGTGATATTGCTCTTGAACTAAATTTTATGGTTTAAGTGCGAAGAACATGATATTGAATAAATAAAGGTCACACACAAAATATTAAAAAAAGACGCCCCTTTCAACGTAATTTAAAATCTGAAACCTTTCAGATTTCCACCCGCTTTCTTTCTTTCTTTTTTTTTTTTTTTTTAATCTGCGTTCCCGCAGTGGAGTATTTTGCGAAGTTTTCTGTATGCTTCTGCAAAACTTTTATGCCCATATCCTAGAAACTGTAATTGCTGTTCAAAGAATTTTTCATGTTCTAATGGGTCCATCATCGTGATACTGCCCAGTAAGTTCGATATGTCCATCAAGTCCCAGATAATATAGAGTGAGAGAAGAGCTCTGCAGTGACTCATTTCGTTATCATTTTTTATGGATTACTATTTTTCTTCTTCGTATCTATGCCTGATGCCATCGATCAAAGCAATGCATGTACTTCGTTTCTGTTCTGGATCCTTCAATCATTAAGAGATCGAAGACAGAAGCTTCCAAGAAATTGTTTCATTTAAAAAAGGATACTCTTTTTAAATCTTTAGAATGATATCTCTGTTTAAAGACAGTCCACCACATGACGAGCGGTGAAACCCTAAAATATTGATAATATTTTTACAATTAGGATTAGGATTATTATAAACCCTAAAATATTGCTAATATTTTTAGGGTTCGAAGAGAGTTTGAATTCTGGCGAGCAAAATGGCGGCATGGGAGTTTTCATGATGAATATGAGCCTATTTTCGTTAAAACCCTCTCAACGGAGGAAACCTTTCCCTTGGCATTGCTTTACTATAATCTAAATAATCCTAATTCTAATTGTTATTTTGAAACGAGTCTTTTGATAGCCATATTTTTCAAGAAATATAACTAAAAAGAAATTTCTTATATTTTATGTAGTAGCTTAATTAGGTCAGTCTTCGGATTTTCAGCTTTTCAAAAAACGTTTTTAATGCCTTCATATCAAATCATTTAAATTTCCTATTATAATTTTCTGCGGATAAATAGCATGAGTATAAAATTAATCTGATTATAATTCTGATCATGTAGTGATTTTAAGCCGTGTGCTGAGTCTTCCAAATTCAGAAAGAGATATTTAATATGCGTAATTACTTCTGCTTAATGTCTCACTCTAAAAATTACTCTTATTTTTTGCATGATTGTCCTCTAAATGTGCGAACTATTTTTCTGGTTCTTTTTTAGCTAGCATGTGTCAACTCCTTTTGTTTAATACAAATTACGCTTCTTTGAACTTCGTTTCTTGTTTTTACATATTGGGTCATAGTGTCCCTCTCTTCACCCATTTTAGATTTTTCTGGAATCATTGTAGTAAGTGGATAGAAACAGAATACCGGTTTTAACAACCAGTAGAAGTCTTATTAAAATTTCTTGATGTGTATGGGAAAAATTGATTGTTATTTTGTAATATACATTGTGAAACTGCCTCAGTTTTGTTTTCTAATAAAAACTTTTAAAAACTGGTCTATCATTTTTGGTGATCTGGTAGAAGTGATATTTAGTGAGACATTTAAGAAAAGCTTATAAACGTGTTTTAAGGTCTCCAGTTTAACTGGGCGAAAATAAGAATGATATATTGCACGCTCGATTAAGTCTTCACCTTAATTTTTGGAAAGGAGTATCAGAAAACGTTATTAACCCTTCCAATCTCCTACTAGCATTTTTAGAAGAAAAATTACTCTATAGAGTTATTGTGCAAATAGAAGAAGAGTGGATGGATTACGATCTCTTGTTATACAGTTTAAAATCCGTATGTATTGGCCCCGTGGGAAAAGATGTGGCAGAACGGATTAGAAATTTTTTTAAATAACAAGGAACCTAAATGCAATATGTGAACTTTGACAATGCCACAAACAGTGAATTTGTTTTATATACTGAGTTTAAAAATAATTATTAAAAATGCTGATTATACGTAAAAATCAGGGAAATGCACATGTTTTGGAATGCACCAGGGAAATGCACCAGAGCGAGTTTGATGACTATTTTGTTTGGCGTGATTTGCAGATGTAGGTTTAAGGTATCCGAAGAACGAGTATCCATGTCCGTATTGGACATGAATGCTGATTTCACTTGATTAATTGATACTGACACTATTTTTCCCTATAGGAATGGATAAACAAAAACTTTTGTACCCACGTTTGAGCACTCTGAAAGTGTCGTCGTAAGGTGGTTGTAGGTGGTTGTTCAAAGAAGTGCATCACGTCGTACTGCATTGTACTGCACCGTCGTACTGCATAAACACATGTGAATACGTTTCCAAATCTTTGGGAATAAATATGCTTTCGTTGCATGTTATCCAGCTGGTTTTTGTTTAGGCAGTTCTAAGCAATTCGATGTATTCAGTAGGATCAGTATCAGCATTCGAGGCATCGCACAAAATTACGCGGTAGTTTAATTGTAGTTCCAGACACCAATGGTCTCAAACTCAGATTGCATGCGGGTCGAATACACAATCCAAACAATTCACGGGACAGAATTTGTTTTTTAATAAAATGAACAATTTTGTTAATAAAATAAGAAATATTTTTAATAAATTTTAAATTTCGCTTATTAAATATTTATCAAAACATATACATAATAATAATAATTTTAACCATTCAAATTTATAATTATTTTCTCTCTGAAATCTATGGCTGTAAGTTTGAAACCTATAAGACATTTTTGTTGGTTACACTTCGCAATTCAAGTACTATTGACAGCTAAATATTAAATTTTTAGACTGATATTTCTTTCAAGTTATTCTAACATGTTTAATTAATTATTAAATAACTTACTCTAATTTAAACTTAAAATAAACAAGTTATGAAACATTTTCAAGCTTTCAGAGAAAATCTACTAAGTGGGACAAAACTTCAGAGTAAATAACAAAAACCTAACCTCTTTTTCTTATCTATTAAATTTTACTTCGACGTATATATATATATATATATAAATAAATACTTATATATTCGCTTATAAAATCAGTATAAACTTCTTTATTTCTTACCACAGCTCGAGACTTGAAAGCGTTTCGATTCTGGTAAAGTTTGTAGCCTTGGAAGGAAATTAGTAAAAATTATCTTCATCACGAATTATCGAAGCTCATTGGTCAATCAGGTCGTTTTTTGTTAATTTTCAACTGTGAAAATATCTGTTAAATGTACTCCCACACAAATCGATTATTCTTAGTGCAAAAAATTCATAATATTTAATTTTTGCCAAGTGAAAATAAAAATTGTAAATTTTTAATACGATTTATATCACACAATAAATTAACTAGCTCCATTTATAGATTTTTTTTTTGGTATGTTATTCTTGGACCGCATACATCAATTTCTTATCTTTATGTCCGCCACAGGTTAAACTGTTTAATATTTCGTTTATTTATTTTTAAAAATAAAAACCAAATTTTATTTGAATATATTCAACTTGTGAACACGATTTTATGAGCTATTTGAAAGGGTTATTGGTCAAAGAAATGTAACTTCCCCCTCTAGTATCATCTTGATTATACGATATTATTAGTATATATTAGTAAGTATTTATTTTTAAAGCATCCGTTATATTACATTTAAGTTGATGTGAATTTAATTCTTTCTAGATTTGCTTCCGATGCTAAAATTAATTGATTTTATTTTCGTTATACAGGATGGGAATTTTAACTGTTGCGATCAGTTATAAAAATGAATTTCTAATCATAATTCCTAAAATAAAATTTGATGTGTGCATTTATATATATTTATAGTTTTTTTACTCACTGAAACGTATTTATTTCTAGCATTTAGTCTTTTCAGTGGAGTGTTCTTAGAAGACACAGCTGCTTCTTTTAAATTTTCAGTTACACGACGTAAGCTTGCGTATCTTCAAGACTATTTTTAGATTCGTTAGGGATAATGAATCATCTTAAAAAAATAAACGCGCATATCCTTTTATGCATTATAGATTGATGATTCTCTGCGCTTATTTTTAACCTTCTAAATCAGAAAGGATGTCGACGGAATGCTGAAATGCAAGAAATGAAGCGGAAGCAGGATACTCAATCATTTAAAATATATTTCATGATTCGCACTGAAGAATTAAAAGTCTCTAAGGCTTTTCTTCATATGTCTATAAAATCTCTCTGATGCATTCTAAATTCATTTTGATGTTTAAATAAATGATTTTTTTTAATTTAATGGTGGGATACTTTCTATAAACGTTTAGTGTAACAAAACCTTTTCTTTTGCTTCTAAATATTTCTGAAAACTTATTATCACTTTAAATATCTTTTATTTAACTCAGCGATTCATTTTAATTTAAATAATTCCGGTTTTCTTGTAGAATTAATGCTTAAAACAATTAATTTATTTGTGATGAAATTCTTCACGTTCATGAGGTTCAGTAGTTCTAAATTATCTATTGGCTTATTACTAATGACATTCAATTACTCATGAAAGCTTTTAACACTCCTATAATAGATTCTCAATAATTTACATTTTCTGCAGTTTTTCTATGCAATTTTGCTATCTTAAAATAACAAGTAAGTTGTCATTTTTAAATTGATCTGAATTACATCTTGAAGGATTAGGTTTCTTTAATTCTAGAATTCTTCTGTGTGATTTAAGAGAATAACTATTTTTAATTTCAAATGCTCATTTCCGATCGCTTGGACTGGGAGTTTTGTATTATTTCTGATGCTAGAAAAGTTCACTTTCAAATTCAATTTGCGATTCCAGACTTAGTTTACAGCAACGCACTCGATAACTAACAACCTAAGATGGAGTTCTACCTTCATGGAGAATTGTTTAACGGAAACTGGCTCATATATATATATATATATATATATATATTATATATTGCGAAAACCACTAAATTTCCCATGTAGCCAGACCTTTCAGCGACATTTCAATACGCTTAACATTTATTATTAGGTGAAGTCTTTTCTCGTAGAAAGGCTTATTATATTCTGGAGAATTTGGGAGCAGGCTGATTTATCTTGGTGAAAAATTACTTGACGAAAAGTCATGTATGGATTTCTCTCGAGGTGAAATATCTGTGAGAATAATTTGGAGTTTTCTTATTGGTTAATGCACGACTTTACTTTATTACCGCTGCCAGTATTATGTTCAAGAAAATGCATTTTCTGTTGCCTGTGCTTTGGCATTCTTAGGCAGTAACCGCGAAAGAAATAGATGTTTTTTGCAGAGTGCCATTCGTAGTTGGTGTCTATGGTGTCTGGGATGAACTAAATCTACTAATTTTTAATTCACCTTGTTGGGCGCAATGGAGCATTTTGCAAGGTTTTCTGTATACGTCTGCGAAATGATTAGACCCATACATTGAAGAAACTGTAATTCATCTTCAAAGAATTTTCCAATGAATTTTCTGCAGTGAGTCTAATGAGCTCCTCCCATAGTAATTTCATCGACTGCTAATTTTCTTTTGCACATTAGTGAGTGATGATGTCTATCAAAGCAGTTCATAGGCTTCGTCCTCCATTCTGGATTTTTAAATCATTCCATCATTTACGAGGCCGAAGACCCAATACTCGGCTTTCAAGAAAGCTCATTCATTTAAAAAAATGGACTCTTTGGCATCGATAGAAGATTTTTTTTTTCCTATTTAAATACACGTCTAGTAGCTGCAGAGGGGTGAATCTGCTAAATATTCAAAACGGGTTTGAATTCCGGCAAAAAAGTTGCTGCCTCAGAGGTTTCGTGATTTCATTGTCATTAAAACGTTCTCGTAAGAGGGATCCTTCCCTTGGGAAGATAGCCTTCGAGTGCTTTCCATAGTTTAAATAATGTAACCTTAATTCTAATTTAGAAACAAGTAACCCAAATCCTGATTTTAAATTAAGTCCTTTGATAGAATTATAACTAAGCTGAAGTTTTTTCCATTTCTTCTGTGGCAGCATAATTATATAATTTTCCGAATTTTCACATCTCTGAGAAAGGACTTTATTGTCTTTATATCAAGTATTATTTTACTTTATTGTTATAATTTGCGACGAAAGATATGGTTTTTGCTTTGGCATAAATCGCATGGTTCTATATTTAATCTGTTTATACTATATATATATTAATTACATATATAATGCAGAATTATTAATATATTATTAGCGACATTAAGCAAAAGTAATAAAGTATATTCCGATATACTTTTATAATTTTTGCTTAATGTCGCTGTCTTAAAATTAATCTTATTTCATGGATGACTGGCTGTGTAGGGATGCGAATTTTTTCCCTCGCTTTTTTATCATGTTAATATTAATCCATTGTAATTTACATATATACCCTAATTATTATTTTGTCCACTCCGATTATTGCTTTTATATATTGAGCCATGTCGTTCCTTTCTTCATCCATTATTGGTTTGTGTGAAATCGATGTAGTAAATTTGCTTAAATACATTAGTATTCTCTCATTAGCACCTGTAGTTTTTAAAGACTTCGTGCTGTTTGGAGTTAGACATGTAACACTGTGTTTTCTGCTTATATCTCACTGTGAAACACAAAGATAACAATCAAAGGTTATTTTACTGCTGTATAATAGAGTGTTCGAATATCTAATGTAGACATATAGAATATTCAGATTTGCAATTATTAAACTTTGATACTCGTTTCATTACTTCAAATAAATACCGTCTGCAGCTGGATTAAAACTAATTTTAATGGAACAGTATTTCCGTTTTTAATTTTTGTATAGTTTCTAGATGTGATGACTGTTAACATTCGCAAATACAAAATCAAAAAGTGTGATGAGACAATTTTACGTATTAATTACTTTTTCATACGTTTATTATACTATGTTCGAAACACAAAAAATTTTTCTTATTAAAAGATGAGCTTCTTCGTATCATCAAAATAATGTAGGCTTTTATGCATTAGTAGATAGGAAGATAGAAAAAGAAGTATTTTTATTTCAGAAACAAATAATAAAATAAATAAATAGAATGTGCGTAACGTTCATCGAATTCTTCGAAAAGTATATTTATGTCAGAAGAGAATTTTTTTCTTTACATTATGTAAATGATTAAACAGAATACTTCGGTTTTCGAAATTATTTTATTAATTATTATTAGCATTGTTTTCTACGTACATTTATATGTTGTAATTGAATCATTTTTTGTTTTGCTTAGGAATCCATTTGCCTTCCTGCCGCAGAATTATCTTCTCTCACGCAAGCAAACAACTATTTAGCTGTGAATTTGTATAAACTTCTTGCAAAAGATGGGGAAAACATTTTCTTTTCACCTTTCAGCCTATCAACAGCCTTAGCAATGCTCTTCTGTGCTGCCAGAAATGAAACATCTCTGGAAATAAGACGAGTCCTTGGATATGAAATTGCAAACATCACAGATGTCAGCCTCGTGTCAGCTTTTCAGCAACTACTTTCTGCACTAGAGAAGACTCCTGATGATTATGTTATAAGTTTTGCAAACAGCTTACTCAGTCAAAAAAATTTTGCCATTAAGGATGATTATAAGTTAACTCTGAAAGAAACCTTCAAAGCCCTGATGATGGAAGCTGATTTCGTAAGCGAATCTGAGAAAATTGTCAATCATATCAACGAATGGGTGAAAAGCAAAACCAACAACATGATATCTCAGCTTCTGGATTCACTTGATCTTTCTACAGTTCTAATAATACTAAATGCCGTGTACTTTAAGGGTACTTGGTTGAACCAGTTTAAGAAAAGGTTAACTCGAATTCAGTCTTTTTACAGCAAAGGAATAAAAAACAACGCCAAACAGGTGAATATGATGCACCTTACGGAATCGTTCCTGTATTTGGAGAAGGAATCTTTTAGAGCTTTACTATTGCCATATAAAGGGGAGGAACTAGCCATGCTTGTTCTATTGCCTAATTCTATAAACGGTTTGGAGGAATTGGAAAACCAGTTGTCTTCTAATTTCATTCAAGATATAAAGCGAGAAATGTGTAAACGTAAAGTAAAGGTAGCATTCCCTAAATTTCAACTAAATTACACTAAATCCATGAAAGAGTCTTTCCAAAGCTTGGGACTAGAGCGAGTATTTAAAGATTGTGCTGATTTGAGTGGAATGAGCGATTCTAAACAGTTGAAGGTGTCGGAAATTATACATAAGGCTGTTGTGGTTGTCAATGAAGAAGGAACGGAAGCTGCTGCTGCTACAGCTGTAGCCATAAATTGCTACTCGTTGTCTTTTGATCCACAATTTATTGTTGACCATCCATTTACATTTGTAATATATAACACAATCAGCAATCTTATTATGTTTATGGGTCGAGTGGAAGATTTAGAGTAGACTGCAAAAATGAAACTTATGCTGTCTAATAATATTACTCTCATAATCTGCATACGTTTATTTTTCACAGTATTGTACATTGAATTACTATAATGAAAAGAATTTAAATTGAATACACTTTTGTTTATTGTAATGTTATATAATTTGAAGTTTTTCTCCTACATTTTGGCGCACCATGATTTGTTAAAAGCGCTTCAAGAATAAATAAATAAAAACTTTTGTATGTTATGACTTGTTTCTTGCCAAGTTTTGTAATACAAATGTGAATGAGAAATTCTATCCACGATTATTGGAAAACCTTTAAAGAAACTCATCATTAATGACGCTTTGCTGTGAGATTTAAGAATATTTATTCCGTTAGGTCTTGTCATGTATTGGTCATCGCGTCCAGCTTGTTGTAAATCTTGGTTTTTCTTCCCAGCGAGAGCATGATTAATAGTTGATTCTGCTTTTCGATTCCTGCAAACAGTTCCAAGATCTCATATACTTGAGCCCCTCTCACCAAATGCTACTACAGCTATAACTAAAGAATTTTGTTTTTCTTCATTACACAGCCTTATGCTGACAAATTACAATAGTTCTCGGTGGTTGAGCTGCCTTGACTAATGGACTAGACTTTATCAAAGATGATTAGAAGCTGCTTCAGAACTGATTTAAAAGGAACACTTCACTTTACTAAGCGAATTTACTCCGATTCCATAAAATAGAATCGTAGCTCTTTTACAGTTCACAGCGAGCTCTTGTTGGAAACGTGCCAGGAATAGGGATCTGCTTTTCTTTCACGATCTAATTAATTTTACTGAGCGAGCGAACACCTGATTCGCGAAAAAAGAGCAAAGCTGTATTTGGTAGCGTGGCATGAAACTTCGATTCCCATTTTAAGGGAGAAAATTATGTTTAGCCTCTCATGTCAAAAGTTAGTTTAATTTTTGTCATCCCCAACATTTTTGAAAAGAAAATTTTTCTAGAATTTTATTGTTGTTTCTGTATAAAAAGGATGTTTTAGAGAATCAAATCAAAACCACAGTTGAAAGAAATCAGTTCAAGAAATTAGCATTTAATCAAGTTCGATTCTTCCAATCCCCATCCTCATTCGACTCTTTTCGCTCATTGCTCCAAGCTCATTAACCAGTCCCGATCCCATTGCTGGTTCGATTCTTTCCTCTCTTCATTTTATCCTCGCTAACCGCTCGTGGTTCATCACTCTGTCCCGATCTTTGCCTTAAAGATTATTGTTAGTGAACGGTGAATTATAAAAAAGAACCGATTCATTTCAGAAAGCAAAACGGTTCTGATCCGATTCTATCACAGAGTGTTACCCATCATTAGTGAAAATGAAAAAAGTAAAGGGTTGTTAGATTTCTTTGCTTTTAAGTAAATTGAGTTCCATAGAGTTAGGAAAATGGGATAAAAAGTCCACCTGAAGGTTAGCAGAAAGTCAGCAATGCAAATGTGTTGTGAAGTTTTTTTTCAAGTGATTGGCTTTCATTCGTAATCAAATAAAGGTCATGTTATTCTTCTGAGGCGGTAGAGTTTACCCAGCAATCCAGTAATCATAGAACTATTAAGATTTAGCAAAAGTCTCCGTCAATACATGCTTATTTAAAAAGTAAAGAAATTTTTTAACAACTATTATTTTGAATTAATCTATTCTGCAGTGGTAAATATAAAATATTAGTTGTCAATTAATATTAATAATAAATACTATTAATACTATTAATAATAATTAATATTAATAATATTAACTAAAATATTAGTTGTCATAGTCAATTTAAAAAGGAAAATGGGGGAAAAGCGTACAATTTCTAAGGATATGGTACGTGCGTATGGTGTTTAACTCAAACTATTTTATCACAAACATTCAAAGGCCGACCAGCGGCCCAGCGGTAAAGTCGCTGAACACTGGTAGTTCGGTCTGAGTTTCGAATCCCACGAACGGGCTGGCTGCATGGGCGTTTTCGTGGTTTTCCCAATGTGTAACGTGTGTACGAGCCAGTTTCCCTTAGAAAGTCCTCCACGAAGGCACACCCTCCCCTTAGTCAGAGAGCCCTCGTGTGCTTTGCCATAATTAAATACACATTCAAACATCAATCTTTCTTTCATACTTATTGCTACTAACGACATAATCATGTTTTTTTATATCTATCAATTGTTTATGATTCCTTATGTTAGGAGTACTTATCATAACAGGCACGTAACTAACCAAACACATTTTGTTACAATATTTCTGCAGGTCGTAGCTCTAAACTTAGGATATTTAAGCTTTATATTCACCCCCCCCGAAAGAGATGAATATACATACTACCTATAGCATTCAATGCAATAAAAATCATTATTTTTATCATCTTAATATATGACCAGATTACACGGAATTATTAAATAGTTAATTATTGTAATTGCTTCTCATAATAATCACAAATCTGAATAAAATAGTCCGTTTAGAGCATGTACGCTGCGCAAACAAAAAAAAAAAAAAAAAAAAAAATGGGACAGCTCTATATCTCGCGTTCTACTGGGTCGTTTTGACAATATTCGACTTGCGTTTTTCATGTCTCGAAAGCGCGACTTAAGATATTTATTAGATTTTATATATAGCAATGTTCTAATATAGGTATTTTGACACAAAATCGGACTTTTTCTGAAATTGCATGCCAATTTTTTTCCATATTTCGATTCTACGACTCAAATTATGCCAAACTACCAAATTTTGTAAATTCCGTAAAAAGGACTTTTATTAAATTGATATAAAACATGATAGCATAAATGCAATGCATGACAGGAATATGTGCGGATGTCTAATATTTTTAGCTTTCTCCGTTTAAAACAAGTTACATATTCAGACTAAAAAGGAAGTATGATTACGCAAAGTTTTATCTCCGGATATGACAGTATAACACCCTACTTGTTTTTAAGGATGCTCATTAGAGGTCTTATCCCTCGCTGAATGTTAGTAGAGAATTGTAAGGAAAAAAATGGATGTATTCAATGTAAGTAACTTCAGTTATTATTTAAGTTTTATTTATATTTCATTGATGATTTCTTTGCTTCTTATCTCGTGAACAGTAGAAACTATAATTTTATAAAGGATTCCTGAAAATTTAATGATTTTCCCCCTCTTTTAACAGGGCACAAAGGCTAGAGATTTGCCACCATTTGGATGCTGATATGTCGTGCATTTGGCACAGTAAAGTCGTTTGAGTACTCTAAATTCTGTTTAGCACAGTTTTATTAAAGAATCATAAGTTAGAATAACTATGAAATCTTGATTTAACAAGTTAGAGAGTTTGCGTAACCCAAATAGAATACAAATCAAAGTTAACAGTCTTTACAAACATTTAAATCGAATTGTTGAAGTAAAGAATTGACAAAATACTCATTCATACAAAATACTCGTTCATAAGTTTTAAATACCTTCAAGCTTACCTGTTAGGCAATATTATCAGGAATATATTCCATAAAATGAAGGGAACATGGCTGAAAAATTATGAAGCACCAAATACAAAGTTAGCACAAAATCATTTTAAATATATGCATCCTGAAATATAAGTAAAATCCTCTCTCGCCAATATATCGTTTGGCGCCGTTTGTTTTTGACGTTGTCGACTTTCATAACGCAAAAGTAGATTTATGATAACAGATGCAAATTATGTAGTAAGAAATGTAATTAAGTAAAAAATGGCTAATTTTATTTTGATGATTATTTTACGAAAGGTTTTTATCTCCTACAAGAAAATGAACAATTTAGATCGTTTCCGTTGTGGAGTATTATGCACCGAATTGATTGGATTAGACTTTCTGCTTTATGTCTAAACTCACTACGGCCATCTGTGTAAGGAAAAGAATGCCTTTGTAGAGGATTATCTGAGGGAAAAAGGACTTGTATTCAAGCTGGACGTGAGAAAATCAACGAAATTTCCGATGCAACTAGCCTGTTTGCCGGGATTTAAATCCAATAACTAACTGCATATTTTTTGCAAAAACGCAAATTTTCATTCCCTCTTCGATTCTGTTAAAATCTTTCTAAACATAGGAAATATATTTCTTTCAACCATTCCGAAAAACTAGGAATGGGATCGAATGACAAACTTTAAAAGCTTTTTATTTACAGTTCTTTCCTTGGAAACAAGAACTTTGCTAAATGCGGTAGAAGCATTTAATTTAACGGTGTCCAAGAAGTAACCGGTGGGGCATATATACTTCTGTAGTTAATAATTTGGTGCGTGCTGTTCTACAGCGGAGAAATCCAGCAAATTTTGGTTTATCGAATTACCTATGTAATTCAAAATGTCTCAGCAGATTCTATATCAATATCAAAGTCAACTCATTTAAAATCCTTTGCAAATTACTTTTATGCCATATTAAAAAGTGATTAATTGGAATCATTAGCTGAAGTTACTAAAATATTCTTCTTTCAAATTTTGGAAGTTAAATATCGAATTTATGTGCTTTATTAGATTATTTATAACAATAAATCACTCGAGCCATAGGAAGGAGGTCTTCAAGGAAAGATTTTTTGGAGGGAATTGGCTGATGCTGGTTTAAATAATAAACAAGACTGCAAAAGCTTCCTACAGTTAGCCTGTAGAGTATTCAAGGACAAAAGGCGGACCGAATTATTAGTTTTTTAGTGGTTTCATTCATTTTGCTATTGCTGATCCATTTAAAAAGGCTTATTATAATTACTTTTACCAGTTTTCAAATACTATTCCGGAGTTCTTTTAGTGATCCTTTAAAATTCACCAGTTGCATTTCTACAACATTCTTGTTGATTAATGCTTTGAGCAAAAGTTTTTAATTCATTTTATAAGCAGAAAGAAACCTTAAAAAAATAAACATGTTTCAACTTCCCTTATCATATGCAGAAATAATAGTCTTTCAAAAGGTCTGTGCATGATATATTTCAGTCACTATTTTATATCAGTCACTATTTATCGGTTATAGTATTATTTAGTCATATTTATCAGTTATATATCAGTATTATACAGTATTACTCATTCACTGTTTATCGGTTATAGCAGACCGAAAGTAATTTCAGTGTGTTATTTTGTATAATTAATGAAATTATATAAAATTCTTATACTTTCACATCTGTGCATTCAAAGATTTAAAAATTATGGCATTTCAAATTTTCAGGCTCTTGCCATTTTACATTTCTGGTTGGAAAAAAAAATTCCAACAATATACGTGATATTTTGTATTTTGGCACTTATTTCTCTAATGTTTTTCATTTGCTTTTAGTAAAATACTGAATTATTTTAATAAAAGCAGATGAAATACATTAGAGAAACAAGTGCCCAGTAAACCATTTACACTTCCATAAATGATTTATCTGTCAAAGTTGCGTAATACTTTAGTTTTTGTTTCTTTCAGAATAATATAATTTACGTCATTTAATTAAAAATTAAATAAGATATTGATTGGAAAACAGTTTGTATTTAAATAAATAATTTACTACATTAGGTACTTGCATCTCACAATATATTTCGTTTTATTTTATGAAGAAACAAAACTTAAATGAACGATCATTTGTTGTTATTCTTTAAGCTATTTATGTTGTTTAAAAAGAAGTCTAAGTACTTTATAAATAACAGACAATAATTAAAAATATTTAATACATTTATTATGCGACAAATACATTTATAAATTCCATCAAAGCTCTATGAAGAGAAAAGATAGAGAAGGTAACTAAACAGATCGTCGCCAAATAATAAGAGCTAAACTTAGAGTTCAGATTTTAAATGTTCTTATTCCCACTTTGCAATTGTGAAACACATAGTTTTAAATTGCAGAATAGCACTACCACTTTCTTTGGCCAATTTTTAACGGGCAAGTAATGCCAAATATTCATTCTTCAAATTTTGTATCCTCTTTGTATCCGTTCTTCGTATTTTTGCCTCAAATTTTCTTGTAATTTTCTGCAAATACCTAAAGCGCGAATGTTTCGCTGAAGGGGTATATCAAACAAACTGAGAGTGGATTCCTCGATGATATTCACGGTTGTAATTCTTAATATTCTATCTCAAACCACCTTTCTCTATCTCAACTCTCTCTCTTTTCCTCTAGATAACAGTAAATAGCGGATTTAATCTTTTCTTCACAACTTTCGCTATTTAGAATTATATCGCTGAACTGGTCTTTTCTCATTTCCGGACCTATTATCAAGATTAAAATCCTCAGCTAATTGGGCCATTATAAAACAACTTGACTCAAACAACAATAAATACGCTATTTTCTTGTTTCAATCAAGTTCTATATTTCTTCTCAACAATTAAATTTAAACTTTAAAAAAAATGTGAAAGATTTCAATTTTTAACGGTCGCCGAAAAGGGTTTGTTAAAGTTTTTTAATGCTGTCGCTGAGTTCACAGTCTACTTAAGTCTACTAACCCATTTGTTTTGTCTTTTTAGCTTCATTGTTAAGCATAATTTTTTTCACATTTACGCCATATACAATTCAACAGCAGAATCACAAAAATTGTATTTAATTTTGTAGAAACATTAGAGTTTTTTTTTTTTTTTTTTTTTTTTTTTTTTTTTTCTCCGGAAGGGAAATGAGAGCAATGCTCTCGATGGGAATCGAACCTGGGTCTCTCGAATATGCGCCGAATACCGTGTTACACCTCGAAGGCATGCAGAAAAGTGGAAGAAAATACTTTATAATTTAACAAAATTTAGAATTCCCAATGCAGTGTTAAGTGCTGGCATACACTTTTTATATATTTTTTTCATTCTTTTCTCAGTTTACTATATCAGTGTTCAGTTTTCTTAGTAAGATGGCTAGCAAAAATATTTTTTAATCTTTCTATTATTAACGTTTTGTGTGTTAACTTTATTTGTTAAATATTACGATTTTCCCACTTACGCCACATAAAATTAAATTCAACAGCATTTAAAAACAGAATATCTTTCGAATTTTATAGACAGTCTAGCGCGTTGGAGATAAAAATATTCTTTCCGTACAGTTATTAGATACTTCTCCCGCCTTCTTAGCATGCCTTCGTAGTATAGTGGTCAGCACGCTCGACGCGTATTCGAGAGGTCCGTGTTCTTCCCGGCGAAGGCGTTGCTCATCTTTCACTTCTTCCTGTTCCAAAAATAACCTAATGACTCTATAGTGACGCTCGAACTAAAAGGGTGGTGGATGATGATTCTCCATCCCGAGGATTTGCCGGTTGGGTCTCTTAAACACCAGTCGCCCTTTAAAAGGGGGAGTATATAAGGCATTTCTCCCGCCTTCTTAGCATGCCTTCGTAGTGTAGTGGTCAGCACGCTCGAAGCGTATTCGATTCCCAGCGAAGGCGTTGCTCATTTTTCACTTCTTTCTGTTTCAAAAGTAACCTAATGACTGCACAGTGTTGCCACTACTCGCTTTCAAATCGTTGAATTTATAAATCAGAAATTCATTAAATGTTTTACAAAATATGAAATCGATAATAAAATAAATTCGAAGTTCAAAATACGGTCGTTCAGGTGCACATGCTCGGATAGACGACTACTTCGTTCAAAATTTGATGGCTGTAAATACCGTCGTTTTTTCACATTGCGGAAAAACATTAATCTTTTCATGCAGATTGTTCGTTAGTTAATTTCTTTAAAAATACGGGGCAATAATATTTGAGGGCAACAATTAGAAAAGTGATACGCCGCGTTTGCATTGATTCAACGCAAAATCCTGTTTCGATTCCAAAATTAAAAAATTCATAAAATTTTGGAATTTTTAAAACTTAAGGTTACCAAGCTGCCCAGAATTTATTTATTTATTTATTTATTTGTAATAAAAATGTGAAGATATATATATATATATATGTTAGGTATTGGAGACGTTTATTGTAGCACACGTTTTTTCCTTTATTTTGTTACCTTAGTTAACACTTTCCTGCAAAATCCGGAAGTCGTTATCTGATATCCTTTTCCCGCTGTCTCAGGAAGTAATGTGATTCAATCTTCTTAAAATGGTAAACCCCTGAAACTTCAATTTTTTTAAATTAAACTCCATTTTTATGGAATAATTTACTCGATACTGGTATCTATGATACGAGAATAATCTTGCAGGTTACTTCGCATTTTTTATGTAAATAGGCAAGAACTCTTCTCGAATATCACATTTAAATATCTCAAATACGGTGATAAATCAATGATATTCCAACTGGATTCTAAGTAATGCACAGAAATCTAATTATAGTATTTATAAAATTTAAATCATTATTTATATATAATTTTCTTAATTTTTTATTCAAAAAATTCGATAGTCATAATTTAAATTTGTAAAAACGTCATAAAATTCGCAATTTTAAAATTATCTGCAATGGATTACAGAAATGGATCATTCGAATGGCTTCGCAATAATCACGTTGTTCAATCGAATTGTTGTATTACTGTCTTTAAAGTATTCCTGCCAATCTCCTTTCGAGTAAATTTGCTAGCGGGTATCTAATTTAACTAGCGAGTATTTAATTTATTCATTTGACTCGAGTTGATAGAATTAATGGTATGATATAAGAGGAAATGTGTAAAAGATGTACGTAACATCAAACTAAGCAGAAGTACCTCAAAAGTATTTATTCAAAATAAAGATGAAGAATGCATAACGATAAACTGATGGAGGACTGAACAAAGGAAAACTTACGAGATAGGCAATTTTTGCTTTGCCTGAGGAAAGCAATGCCTTCGTTGAGAACTTTTTAAGGGGGGATTGGTTTTATTGCTATAACATTTAGGGAAAACCAGGAAAGCAATCTTGCAGCAGCCCATTCGCCGGGATTTGAACTCGTGTGGAACTACCAGTATTCAGTGATTTTATAACTCGGCTGCTAGTGGGCAATGGAAAAATAAAAATTAAATTATAAATATTAACCATTGACTCTTACTTTGGAGACATTATACGATTATTTAACCTAATTTTAGTATAATTATTTTGAATAAGCTTTTAAACATTGTAAGAATAGAATGTAACCAGAAACACGAAAAAAATCTTGCGGTTGGTACTACAGTGCCAAAAAGAGAGGCTCGCCTCTATACGTATTTAAATCATCAATATCTTTAGTTTTTTTGGATTAGCTAATTTAATCAGTTCTATAAAATATCGGTAATTAAAACATTTTTGTGATTCCTGGTTCATACAACGAACATTGAATATTTTACTAGCTCATGGCAAACTCTGTTGAAATATGAACATATTCCATACAGTAACCTGAAAATCAAAGTGAAAAATAAATGACTTAAAACTTAAATAGATATCTTCCAGCTGATGTCTACGTCTAGACAAAAATATTCTGAGCAGGCCTGGTTCTAGCAATTTTGGTCGGCCTTAGCTATCAGCACATTTAAATTAAACATACGTATTAACAATTCAAAATCCATTTAGGCTTAGCTGGCGCCCTCTGAAGTTCAGCTCCATAGGTACTGCTTATATCAGCTCTACTTGGACATGGCCCTGCTTCTTGAGTTGAGTTTTTGAATAATCGTGAAAAAAGAGAATCAGATCTGTTCCATTAAAGAACGCACGCAAAGCAGTTTTCTATAAAAATAAAGTGCGCTGTAATACTAGTATTACTTATATATGTGAATTCATATAAAGCACCGTAATAAAATCAAAAATCCATCTGAAATTATTATTTATTGGCCGCTTTAAAGTTGAATGTTGTTCGATTTTTACAACAGTGGTTTTGTTTTCAAAATACATATTCCCAATAAAAGGTTTTTAATGATAACTTCCAGCTGATGAGTGTTCTATTTTAGTTTTTTGTTTGTCTAAATAATTAACCAGAGACGTATATTTCTTTTGCCTACAGTAATTTTACCGCCATATTTTCTTATAATGAAAAAGATCTATACTGAGTAGAAAATACATTAAAAGTATTTTTCGAAACTTCAAAAGTAACGAAAACTGTGGAAATAATTGAATAGAATGCGAAACTTTAAAGTGAAAGTTATAATTTCCATTACAAATAAACAGCAAATAAAATATTACATCCAGACGAATGCATAGATAGGTTTACGGTTTTAAAAAGGATTTATTTTAGATATTTTGCCTCAGCAATGCTTTTTAACCGCTGTCAAGTTCTTAATAATATTTCTGTAAACAATTCTATTTTCTATCTATAACTTTATTCAGTGACTGAAAAATTATGATATTATTCTAAAATTATCCACTCTGGTTCTCGAACTTATGAGTTTTTACATCAAGAATATCAACGATCAGTTATTTACTGAGGTATGTTCTAGGTTATTTCTTGACTTACAAATTACTCCACACACATCAGCAATACTTTGCTGGCAAATTAATTCTTAACACGCTTTTATAACTTATAATTCTTCCAATTAACAGTCAACACATTTTGTGAAGCAGTGCCACAAGAATACTTTTCCATAAAGTTTGTTTTCTTAATGCAGCAAAACCTGGCGCAATCTAAACTGAATGCCATTTAATGCATAATGAATTGACTGGTTTTGTTTCCAAATGCATTCACTTGCCAGTCATCCAAACAGGTGATCATCTCAAGGACAGATGATTCAGTATTGAATAATCAACCGGACATAACTCTTATTTCCCCCGGCAGAACACTTGCAAGATTTTTTTTTCTTTTTATGTTAATGTTTCTATTATGTGCGATAAATGAGTGTGGTGGTTCCACTTCCTGCAAGTGAAAACGCTTTTAACGAGCTCCAAGCCTGAAGCCGATATCTTTGTGGTCAATAACGAGTGGCCTTTGTATAAGAAATATAAAAATACAAGTTAAGTATTTGCAATTAGGGCAAACTAAAAAAAAAAAGCGATTGTGAAGAATGGGGAAAAGATACGTTAGGCCCGATACACTGCCGTTAAACATTTGTGAAATTCATGATCTTTGTAATCGTGGTTTAGAACTGGAATGCTATTGCAGCAGAACTACAGTTATCGAGATTTTTTGCTACCAAGAACTGCTTATCACTTGTTCTTTTACCTGGATCACAATAAATTAAACTTGCTGTTAATTTTACTTAAATGTTCTTAATTTTTATTATTTTTAAACAATATAAAAAGAAAACACTGTGCACACTTATTTTTTAAAAAAGTGTTAAATTGATTTTGGTGAATATATGTGCAATAGGAGACAGATTGGTTTACAATGTTTGATTAGTATGCGTACAAGGTTTTATTTAAATAACCAATTGTTTTTATACTAATCCCTTTATATCATTTCTAATTTTTTCATCATTTACTAGAATTCAAATTAAGAAGCTTTTAAATGGGGGACAGTTGATAGAAGGCGAAGTCACCAGGGCTTTACCATGGGGTCAACAGGTGCTGCTGACTGCAACTTTATGTAATTTAGAGGTTTTTCAAGGTTCAGTACGTCTCCATCATTAATGTTTCAATAAATCTGTGAAAGCGAATTCGTAGTATATGTGAAGCTCTTGTACTTATGCCGATGCAATGCTTGCTATGAGAAGTGCCTACATGGAATGTAGTAGCATGACCAATTGATATTTTATGAACTTTTCTTAACAACATCTAGCAAATGTTCATTTACTAATTCAGCCACACACTGCAACGCGAATTGCGTTTCTGAATTGTTACAGTTTTGCATTGCCGTCGCCGGCAATAGAACTCCGGACCTGCCAGCTGGACATGTTCCAATTACGCCACGAAGACACACGGTAAGGAGGGAGATAATACCTTACATTCCACCCCCTTAAAAGCCAACTGGAGAGGAGGGAACTTAATAGCTAAGTAATAGTGCTGACTAGTTATCTTTACATTTTAATTTGAGCGCCACTGACGAGAGAGATTTAGAAATTTTCGAAAGTGGTAAACATGGAAATTATTCAGTTGGTTCGCCTCGATTCAAAGTCCGGACCTCCCGATTGCCAGCCGAATGTGCTTCCAATAGCACTACGAAGGCACTTAGTAAGGAGGACAAACTTACCTTACAAGAATATAACAGCTTACTAAAAATTTATATTGAATTGGTGAAAGCTAGCAGGCTAAAAACTAAAACTTTCGGTGTATTTGAGTGTACCTCTTGCTTAGTTTAAATACGTGACTGAGTTTTGCTCCCACAGTTTTCTTACTGTAAAGTTAATACAGCATAACTATTTTAGTTGTATTTCATTTGTGACCTTACTGAAGTTACAGTGTAGGCCAGTTAATGTGACAGCGATAATTCGCGCGAACAAGACGAGGTTAAATAGTTAATTAGGCGAGAATACCTAAAGGTCCAATCTTATATTTAATCTGTAAATGAATAAAAAGACAATTTTATTATCCTTCTTCTTTTCTTCAGCACCATAGGTGTTATTAATCCCGCAATATACTTTTTGCCCGAATCACTTCCCAGATGGTTGCTATCAAATGTTATCGTCATATATTATTTAAAAAAAAGTGCTCATGCGGACACCACATGAACTCCTTGTACGGAGTATTAAATTATACGCCTTTTTTGCTGCATTTCATTTAAACTTAAACTTATCTCCTCGAATTTCATTAGAGATATAGATTTCTCATTCAATTAATTCACTTCTCACTTCTCGGCAAGGCAAAAATACATAAAACATCAAAATATCTTTATTAAAAATTGAAAAATATAGAAAAACATAAAACACCAGATGCGGATAAAATAATTAGAAACAGTTTTTATAATTAGAGTTTCTACGCAAAAACAAGTTTGGTTACCAGCCAAGAAGGCATTTCGGTGCACAAAACTGAAATTTTACTTTTGGTCCCATTCGGCAAAAAGACACTTAAGGTGCAGAAACTGATTTGATTCACTATTCTGCTAAGTTTCAAATGTAAACAAATATGGCTGTTACGTTGAAAAATTAGACATAGCCGCAATTAAGTAACTTTTAAATTCTTGATAATTCGACAACTATTGTATGCAGATTAACTAAAGGCATAGAAACCTCACCAGAAGATAAGAACAATGTAATGCAATAATTTTTAAAGCGAAAAATGCACAATTTGCCAACATATAAGAATAAAAAGAACTGAGCTCATGGAGCCAGGTAACAGAGTGGGTGTATATATATATATATATATATATTGGGTACAGCTGATTGCAGTCAAAAAGATAGGTGCACAACTACATGTTATAGCAGTCCTATATACAAAATTTCAACTTTCTGACACTACTCGTTTTTGAGTTATGCGAGATACATTCATACAGACGTCACGAAAAAAATCTCTTCTTCTATCCATTTTAAATCAATTTTATAATCCGTTTGAGGAAAAACAGTTCTTTATTCAGTCCTTACGTACAGATATTACTCAAAAAAATCGATAAATTGCATTCTATAGAGGTAAAAATATATATTTTCTTTGAAATACGATACCCGGAATGTTTCGTGATTACAATCCAGTCTTTACTTCGTACAAGGAAGTAAAAAATTAAATAGTGAAGAATCTGCCTGTATGTATTATGTACTTCGCATTGTGGAAAAACGGCGGCACTCAGAACTACCAAATTTTGAATATGTATAGTCCTTCACCGGAACATGTGCACTTGGAAGCCGGAATTTCGAATTGCGAATTTGTTTTTATTTATTTTATACATTGTGTAAATTTAATGAATTTCTGATTAACAAGCTCAGGGAACAGAAAAGGAGAAGTGGCAACACGGTTCGAAATAAAACATTTTATCTCCAATACAACAAACTGTTGCCATTCGGCAAAATGGGAGTTATTTCAATTTTAATCAACAAACTCGCTATTTTAAAGCAACGCTTTGCCACCCTCGGAAATAAAATATATTTATTTTCCACACCCCAATCTTTTGCTTTTAAGTAAAGTCTAAGATATCATGTCATATTCAGTGGAGCCAAGTGGAACGGGGCCTTATACTATTCATTCCCGAGTCCAGGTAAGGTCTAAATTGTGATTCCAGAAATGTTTTATATGCTGGGAATGGGGGACACGCAGCTTACCTTCCTTTGTTCATGAAAAATCCTATATTCACGGGAGATATTTTATGTGGTTTGGAATAGAATCATCAAAAATGTCCGTACTGAGCTACATATCTTTGATGAATGTTCTTTAATCGATCGCAGATATGAAGACCAGGTTTTATGTAACTCCATGTAAGGCTATTTAAGGGTGCTGTTGGCTCAGATGTTTGCTAATGATAACAATGCTCGTTCGCATGGAATATCTCTGGTGTCAGACTATTTGGAAACAGAAGATATCGTTTGAATGGACTGGTCAGCTTACTCACCAGACTTGAACTCGATTCAGTACCTGTGACCGTTCAACTACAGTCTATTTGTCAAGAACAGACATCGCGCGACGAATGCCTCCTTGACCCTATGGAATCGAAAAAGAGCTCTTTCAAAAGATTGGCGTATTTTTCGACAAGAACTGATCGACAGTTTGGCAACTTCTCTCAGCATGTCAGGTTTTCATTTCTGTCAGAACTGATTATGCACCACGTTAAAGAAAGATTTGATGCAAAAACAGGAAGGATAATTTTTTCATCATTCTATAGTTCAACATTTTGAGACGAATCAACTTTCAATATACCAAATAATACACTGCTCGACATTAAAAATGCAACACGAAGAAGGAGTGGTCAGAAAGTGATGAAATTTGGAAAAAAGACCAGCAAGCAGCAATAAGTGTTCTTTATTTCAAAATGATAGTCAGAATACAGAGCGAGAATGGCGTCGGCTCAGTAGGATGCGGACAGCGATGCACGAAGAAACACGTCTAGGCATAGAGTCAATAAGAGTGCGGATGGTGTCCTGAGGGATGGCTCTCCATTCCCTTCCAACCATTTGCCACAGTTCGTCTTCTGAACTAGGCAGGGGCAGAGTCTGCAAACGGCGTCCAATCACATCCCACACATGTTCGATTAGTGACAGGTCAAGAGAGTACGGTGCCAGGGAAGCATCTGTATACCTTGCAGAGCATGTTGGCAGATGTATACTGTTGGCACTGTGTGGTCAGGCGTTATCCTGCTGAAAAACTGCATTAGGTAGCCCTTGAAGGTAGGGGATTGCCACCGGATATTGCAGATATACAGAACTTATTGAAAGTTCAAACTGTAACAATCCTCGAATATGAACACAAAATCCTCGAAGTAATCTTGAGGCAGAATAAGCTTTCCGATATAAGATACTATCTTGTGGACATAATATCACTTTAAAAAGTCGATTCCGTCCACCAAGTCGATTCCGTAGGTGTTCATTATGATTTTCAAATACCTGTTATTTTCCTATGTGCAAACAAAAATAATGCGAAAAAGGTGACACAAAAATACTAAGCAACTGGAACAACACAGTTAATTGATATGGTAAGCAGCACAATGGCATTTCCCATATTGCACTTGTTCCTACATTCATACTTTCAAAAATTTATGTTGACTTAAATGATTACTTCGAAACACAGGTCTATGTGTTTATGCTATGTGGTCTATGTCTAAGCTACTACATTCCAACTCGTCTATATTCCTCGAAATTTTGCCAAATACATATCGAGTCAATTTACCCACATTGTTAGAATATTAGTACTTATATAATTAACTAGTATATTAGTGCTTATTAACTTACATTTTTCAATTATGAGTAATTAATGTACCTATTTTTGTTCATTGCAGGAAAGTAATTTCTCCAGTATGACTCCAAATGCTGCATTTGCGCAAGCAAACAATCATCTTGCACTCAATTTGCATAGACAACTGGCTAGGGAAGGTGGCAATGTTTTCTTTTCGCCTTTTAGTCTTTCGATTGCTTTGGCAATGCTGTATTGGGGAACTCGGAACGAAACAGCTCGTGAAATGAGACATGTTCTTGGATATGATTCTGCAAACATCACAGATGATAACCTTCTGTCTAGTTTCAATGAGCTTCTATCCAAATTGGATAGAACTTCAGAGAACTATGTGTTAAGTTATGCAAATAGTTTATTATATCAAAGTGGTTTTGCTGTTAAAGAAGAATATAAATCAGCTATGAATGAAATCTTCAGAGCTCTGATGGTTGAAGTGGATTTCACGCGTGATTCTGAGAAAGTTGTCAAGCAAATAAATGAATGGGTGAAAACTAAAACGAATAACATGATACCTCAGTTATTAAAGTCTCTCGATCCTATGACAGTTATGGTAATACTCAATGCCGTATATTTTAAGGGAGCGTGGTCAAAACCATTTGATGAAAGGTTTACAGGTTTGCAAAACTTCTATAACAATGGGAAGCGATATGGTGCAAAAGAAGTAGAAATGATGTACCACAGAGAATCATTTTTTTACTTGGAGAAGGAAACTTTCAAGGCTTTAAAATTACCATATGAAGGAGGAGAAGTAGCTATGCTGGTCTTTTTGCCTCATTCTAGAAATGGTTTGAGGCAGTTAGAAAGACAATTGTCTTCCACTTTTGTTCAAGATATAGAAAGTGCAATGTATGAAACAACTGTAGAAGTAGCGTTACCGAAATTTCGATTGGAATATTCAAAATCCATGAAGAAAGCTCTCCAAGCTTTAGGAATGAACCTTGTGTTTCAAAATGGAGCAGATCTTGGTGGAATAAGTGATTCTAAAGAATTAAAGGTTTCAGATATCATTCACAAAGCTGCTGTTGTTGTGAATGAAGAAGGAAGCGAAGCGGCTGCTGTAACGGCCATTCTTGTGACCACTTACTCATTGTCGTTTGATCCTACATTTATAGTGGATCATCCGTTCATGTTTGTTATTTATGACACCAAGAGCTCTCACATTCTTTTCATGGGCAAAGTACGAGAATTGTGAACTAATAATGAAAATCTTAGCTCGAGAGTCAAGTCGAAGAGTTGGTTTTCACGAACTCCAGATGAATCTACTTGATTTAATATTATCATCTAATAGAAACAAGTTATATAATATGTAACCTGAATGATAAAAAATAAAGTAAATAGAACTACGTTTGTTAGAATTTTATACTTCAGAATTGTTGCACAAATCTTAGTCTAAGACAAATAAACTGCATTTTTTTTTTTTTTTACATTTACCTGTCATTAAAATTGAGTAATTGTTTAGACTCCTTTTTAGAATTCATTTCTGAATCTGAATATTAAGCATCTAAAACAATTATAGTTATATCTATTTAATTTTGTAAGTATTTGTTTTGAAATTAGATTTGTGTTCCTTCAACTGTAATAAACTAATTTGCTTAAATATATATCTGCATTTTACAATCAAAACATATGGAATTAATGTCAACATTACAGAAGAATTGAAGCATTTTAATACTTCGGAAAAATTGTTTCACATACATGATACATAACACCACTTCGTTTTCATACTGTTCAGTAATAAATTTTTCATTTGCATTACAACACTGTTCTAATATTTTTGTGCATTTCCAAATAAGATAATGGTGGTTCAGTGAGTTCACTAATTTTAACACTTTTACGTTTTAAATAATATTTTAATTACTATATACAGAGCGTATTCTTAGGCCGCCGCCTTCGACATGAACAAACTTTATTCTCTCACAACTAAGCGAGCAAAAGCGCCCTCTAGCCTTTTTCTTCAAATTACACAACACTCCCCACCTGAACTCGGTGGAGAGTTCATCTTTCAATAATATATTCTAGAATATTCAATTAATATTTCGACAATAAATCCTGGAGAAATGGTTAAATATAACAAACATGCATACATAATTATAAGCACATAAAATTTTACAAAACATTAAATGATACCTATCAGCAAGGTCAGGAGAATCAAACCTAAAAATACAAAATACAAACATTAGTTAAGTTCCATATTATATAACAATTGTATAGGCCTTTTTAAGGTACCAGTAGGTGTTTTAATTATGCAAGATCTTATTTTACCATCTCCTGGCCTGGCATTAATTCCAAAATTTTACCTATTGTCCAAAGATTTCTGGGATGTTTGTCGTCATGAATCAAGACAATATCGTTGATTTTAAACTGAGATGCGTTAGAGTGTGGAGGACAAATATTGGCAGATCTCAGATTAAAAAGATACTCTGATCTCCAACGCTTCCAAAAATGATTTAAAATATCTTGATGGTATTTATATCGTTTAATAATTGAATTTCTTGACCCAATCAAATTATTTGATGTTATTTTATTAGCAGGCAGAGATAGCAATCGTCTACCAACCAGAAAATGAGAGGGTGTTAGTGGAGAAGGTTCATTGGGATCGGTAAACACGTAGGTAATTGGTCTACAATTAATCATTGCCTCGATTTCAATGAGCACTGTTTCAAGCTCTTTCACAGTAAGGGATGATCGACCAATAATTTTTCGCAAGCTGGATTTTATGGTTCGTACCATACGCTCCCAAAACCCTCCCCACCATGGACCCCTCTCAATAATAAATTTCCAATTTATGCCTCTAGCAGAAAATAATTCTTTCACAGATGAGTCACTCAAAGTTTTAAAAATATGTTTTAGTTCTTTATCAGCTCTTTTAAAAGTCTTGGCATTATCGGAGTACACGGTGGTACACAGTCCTCGGCGAGCTAAAAATCTTCGGAAAGCTAGCAAAAAACTTTCAGTGCTGAGATCAGTTACTATCTCTATATGTAAGGCACGAGTGACCGCACACGTTAACAACAGCATGTAAACTTTACCTTGCCTGTCTTTCGTAAAAAATGGACCGGCGAAGTCCAACCCGGTCACAGCAAATGGAGGCGACTCTTGGATTCTGTCTGGAGGAAGTGGAGCGATATCCTGTACCCCAGGACGAGCACTATATCGTTTGCATATCACACATTTGCTGATGATAGTCTTAACACGCTGTCTTCCCTTAATGATCCAATATTTGTCTCTGATCTGAGTTAGTGTCGAATTAACTCCAGCATGGAATACCCTTTCATGCGAGTCCATGATGATCAACTCGGTAAACTTGCATTTTGAGGGTAATAGAATAGGATGTTTTAAATTCTCGTGACAGTCTGCAAATTGAATGCGACCTTTCAACCGAAGAATTCCCTCCTCATCAAGCCTTGGATTAAGGGAGTAGATGGAAGAATCGAGAATTGATTTTTTATTTGATAACTTAATTATTTCCGCTTGATACGATTCTCGTTGCGTAATTTTTACCCAATAATGTTCAGCTGCTTTAATCTCAAAAGCACTTAAAGGGTCCATTCTCTGTAGACCTTTTCCGAAGCCTCCCAATAAATCTAAATACATAGGCAGTAATTCGAAGTAATTTTCCTAAAGAACTGAATTTTTCTATATGCAAAATTGGGGATTCATTGTTAATTACAGGTGCAGTCAAAATAATACTTTTTCTTAACTCCAACGATTCTGAATTTGGTTTTAATTTCTTTTGTTTTGGAAAGTTTTCAATAGGAAAACGTAACCAGTGTGGCCCATGCCACCACAAATCATTCTTAATTAGTGACTGAGCACTAATTCCTCGAGTTAGTAAATCGGAAGGATTTTGTTTTCCTTCGCAGTGGTTCCACAATTTTTTGTTGCATATACTCTGTATTTCTGTAACACGATTGGCGATAAATGGTTTCCAATTATTTGGCGAACCTTTAATCCAAGTAATGGCGATTTCGGAATCACTCCAAAAATAAACATCTTCAATTAAATCACCAAACAATTTTTTTCAAATATTTATACATTCGAGCAGCCACGAGTGCTCCCATTAACTCTAAACGAGGAAGCGTGATTGCTCTTAAAGGTGCAACTCTGCATTTCGACATGATAAAGGAAGTTTTAATTTTAGAATCACTCGTACAATATCTGAAATATGCGATGGCCCCATATGCTTTAGGACTAGCGTCCGAAAATAGGTGAAGGCTTATATTCATTGGATCGGATCGTCATCAAAGAAATTTCGCTACAGTTACATCACTAAGTTCCTCCCTCCAAATGTTGAATTTGTCATAAATCTCTGCAGGAAGGACCTCATCCCAGTCAGAACCGGAACACCAGATTTCTTGCATAATAATTTTCGCCCGAATAACAAAGGGTGCAATAAATCCAAATGGATCGTATATTTGGGCGATGCTTTGCAAAAGTTTCCTTTTTGTAGCAAAATCGTTTCCAGTAGAAAAGTCAATTAAATTTTTTAAATTTAACTTTATATCGTCTTCAATGGAATTCCAAATCATGCCTAAGAAATTCGATTCACTAGTTAATTTGTTGTCTGATTCCTTAATCCCATCTGAGACCCATAAATCGTTTAATGCTTTAGAATTAGTTCTTAATTTTCTGAAATTCATCCCAGCATCCTTAAATATGTTAACCGCATCTACAGATAACCGATATGCATCTTCAACCGTTCCTGCTCCAAAATATAGGTCATCGACATAGACAGAAGAATTTAACATTTGGAAACTGTCCGGCATTTTATCTTTATATTTTCGAATGTGATATTTTATAGTGGCGGCCAAAATGAAAGGAGATATAGTCAAACCGAAAGCTACGCGACACATTTGCATAATCTTAAAGGAGTCATTATTTTCATTAAACCAAAGAAATTTTAGAAATTTTCTATCACCTTCAGCAATTCCTATCATCAAAAAGGCTTTTTCAACGTCTCCACAAAACGCTATCTTAAACTTACGAAAATTTAACATAATGTCTAGTATATTTGGATTTAGATTAGGTCCCGATTCAAGGCAGTCATTTAACGAATTCGTGTCCTCTGTCCTTGAGCTAGCATCGTACACAATTCTTACCTTAGTAGTTTCACTAGGTCGTATCACTGCTCGGTGAGGCATAAAATATCCCAAATTTGTATCATTATTTGGACATTCCTCCACAATTCCTTCTAATATCTGGTTCTCAATTATATTTTTATATTCCTGAAAAATCTCCGGAGTTTTACTTAGTTTATTGTGAAGGTTTGCGAATCGTTTCTTAGCTACCTCAAAATTATTTCCTAGATTATTCGGACTGTATTTCCAGATTAAATTTGCCTCATATCTTCCGTTTTTAAACTGCAAATTTCTTTCAAACTGGTCTACTATTTCGCAGTCAATATCGGAATAATCATCAGAATCATTAATTCCCATATGTTCTAATTCCCAAAAACCTCTTAAATCTTTCAACACAACAGTGTTTGTCATTACCGCTAAATTTTCAGAACAATTTTTGTTTGTTTTATTTTTCTCGATTCCTGCGGCAACCCAACCAAACACAGAACTGACTGCGTACAACCCTTCAGATATTTTAATTCTTTCAGAATAAACTACATTCCAGAATTCATCCCCCCAATTAATATCTCAACATCTATGTTATTTTTTCTTGCGCAATCGGCGATCTGCAACCCCATATGCTCCATGAAGTCTGCAATTTGTTTACTAGGCACACTGATGGACGCCGAGGAAATAACATCCGAGATCAAACATTCAATTTTTATTTTATTATTTTGTTTCCAATTCTGAATTTCGATTTCAACGACCGGATAGGAATGATTCATTGCCTTCGTCGCACCAAATGAATAAACAGAAAGTCTTTCATAACGGATTGGAGTAAGTTTTAAATGGTCGGCCAATTTTTTCGTTATAAAGGATCTGTGACTGCCTTGATCAAGAATTAATCTAGTTAATTTTGATTTATACTTAGAACAAGCATAAACTGTACAAGTTTGTAATAATATTTCCCTGGCATTACAGTCATTATTATTATCACCTTGAGGAACAGAAGCAATCAATTTTAAGTTTTGAACTTTATTTCTTTCCTCAGAATTCAAAGTCAGAGATTCAGTTTCATTTTTGGAATAACCTTGTTCCAACTTTTTGTTTACAAGGGATTTATTAGTACAAATCGATTCATTGTGATACATACCGCCACATTTATTACATTTAGTTTTATTTCTGCACCTTTTTGATGTATGGAATTTTTTAAAACAAGAAAAGCAGCGGTTTTCGGATCTTAGTTTCTTTAATTTATCAGAAACATTCACTTCGCATTTAAATGA